GGAATCAGTTGCATCAGTGATGACAACTGGGGTTATAACTGGAAGCTCTGCTCCGTTGCTGGTATCTGTGATAACTACGGGGCTGATAGCCGGAAAACCTGCATCTATACCGGAAGTCACACCAAGAGATGAAGAGTCCGGTGTGGCTGCTTGGTCCCCGTTTTTGTTTTGTTCTTGAACGACTGGTTTCCCGTCAGCACCAACATCCTTGGTCTGAAAACCTATTCCGGCTCCTGGAAATAGGAAACTGTCTCCAGGGAAAGTGTCAATTCCGTCGATAATTACATTCTTATTGAAATCCATTAGAGGCAATTCAGACATTGAGTTGATTCCAAGGTTTGTGAATGTTGGTATAACACTAGTGACATCTGGTGTTCCCACAACGCTTACACCACCAGGGATAACTCCGCCTTCTCTGGGTACAACAAATCCTGTATTTACGAAACCACCATTTACTGTGTCAATAAAACCACCATTTACTAGGTTAATAAAACGACCAGAATTAGGGGCTACAAAACGGTATCAAACTGTCAAGATGGACAATAAAAGTGTCCGAACGGAGGCAGGTCATTCAGGAAGTGACCGTGATCATCAGACAACAACTAGCATGGAATGCAGTAAAGTGATTAACTGTAGATAATTCTAGAATAAACAAACAATTTTCGTCACCGTTTTCAGTATCTTCGTCACTGATTTGAACTATTTACAAACAAACAATAAGAATGTGTTATTCATGAGTTTACATGTAAGGCTTTACTGATCTCGCCTACAACTATACGAGTATGTTATATACTCCTACAAACACGTGACAGGTGACAAGGCGGTGTTTTGTCATTATCTCAGATACCTAGAGCAACACATCGTATTTTACTATGTCAACACTAATTGGAGCAATAATTACAACTGATTTTAAACAGATTTTACTCGCTTACTCTGTGCTTAGATTTTTATTATAAGAATGTATTATATTGTTTTATTAAAAAAACACTCATTGCTTTATATAGTTCTGTTGTAACAGTGGAAAAATTGTACCGAGAACTACTGGATTGTTAATACGGTGCTCTATTTAAACAATATCTGCTTGTTTGAAAATTCAAATATTGATTTGATTTGGATATTAAATTTAAAGTCGTTCTTATTGCAAGTAACATGGGTTTTGGAAATAGTAAATAACTATTATCCTGATACTTATGCAGGCGGACGATATAGAAATAAAACAGGACCTCGACAACGGCAAGTTAGCCATGTTGGTTCGGGGTCTTCCCTGAACACCAACTCTGCTTAAAATCACATGTTTATATTTGTGGCCAGTTGTGATGATAGTGAGCTATAGTCTATTGCAGTTATGGTGTACAGGTAAATTGCACAGGTAAATCAACTTCTGATAAGTAATCAGATAAACAATAACTGCTAATAATTGCAAAATAATAATTAATATTTAGAACAGTTTTCAGAATCAGTCATATATTTATTATGATATATATTAGTTAAACTTGTATTTTCAGATTTGTGTGAATTGTCTTATAATTAATAGAATATATAGAGTTATTCATAGTGAAATACAGACGTGGAACATACTAGGTAAACACTTTATGCAAAGCTATGAAAGAGCTTACAATACAGATTATTTCTTATGTAATTGCAGCAACATTCATAATTTGGAGTTGAAAAAAATTCCAGCAATTTATCGGTAGGGAATTTGGCATTGGCAAAAACTGCTAAAAAAAGTATCTGTAAGCAGTGCAAAAGATGTCCTTAACTAAAACCTATTTGGGAATCAAAATATATTATTCAAAAATAATCCACTTTTTTTTCAAAAATTGGGCAAGGAGTGGAATAACAAAGATAAAACATCTGGAATGTTGAACAAAATTACTTTATTTCATCAGAACAATTACTGAATAAGTTAAAAAGTAAAAATAACTGGATATCGGAATTCTCAAAAATCAGAGGGGGCCCTTCCGTCAAGGTGGAAAAACATACTACAAAATAATAATGAAAACAATATTAGTACCTTTAAAATTTCAGATGACTTAGTTTTCACTTATAAAAACAGCATTTTAGCCATGAACAAGTGTTTTAACAAAATAACTAAATATATATTGTATCAAAATAGTAAATAGATAAATTCCCTTCAGAAATGGAATGATCTTTTTGCATTGGACTGGAATGCCATCTGGCTCTCTATAAATACCATATCATTGACAGGAAAATCAAGGATTTTCAGTGGAGAAGCCTGCACAGAATTTTAACCACTGAATATAAACTTTAACAAATGCAGAAATCAAATGGTCTATGTAACTTTTGCAAAGAAGTACATAAAACCCAACATCATCTCTTTAGTGGGTGCAGGTTTAGTGAAACAATTTGGTTCAGGACAGAACAATTACTAAATGAATGTCTAGCAACAAGCAATGTACATATTAGTTTAACAGAAAAGGAAAGAATCTTTGGTGTCTCAGAATATAATGTTAATATAAATAAACTATGTAATCTAATCATATTTCAGTCTAAATGGCTAATTTGGAAGGCAAGAAATATACAGAAATTTGAAAATGAAGATCAAATTCAACTATCATTATTTAATAGGATAACAAACCAATTGAAAAATACAGCGGATAATAAAATAAGTGCAAACAGACAAAATTATACATTCACTGCTTTAATTCATTCATTGAAATCACAACTATAATTAATACAAATACAATTATGTTGCTACTGTAATGAATAAGTCTTTTTAAATTTACCTACTCTGATAATGAAAATAATGAGTGAATGAATGAGCCTGTGTGATAATTGGAATGAAAAGGAAATAATATATAGTTAACATGGAATGCAAGAATAGCGTATATTTATTGTACTTAAAAAAAAAACTAAAAAAAAAACTGATGAAAATTAATATAAAATAAAACAATGTATACCGGTAATAAGAATGAAGTAGAATGATGTATAGAACAATGTATACATGTAATAAGATGAATAATGATGTAGTGATATGTAAAACAATGTAGGCGTCTTACAAGATGAAGAATGATGTATTGATATGTAAAACAATGTATGCTGGTAATAGGATGAAGAATGATGTATTGATATATAACACAGATGTAGTGATATGTAAAACAATGTATGCTGGTTATAAGATGAAGAATGATGTAGTGATATGTAAAACAATGTATGCTGGTTATAAGATGTAGATGCTTAGTATATACAAATATGTAAATTATTGAAATAAAACATTGTGAAAGAAAAAACAATAACGCCCATTCTGACACAAATTTTCAAGTCCACAATAACAACCGGGGAGCTACAAGTAGACTGGCTAAGTGCAAACATTTCCTGCATCTTCAAAAAGGGAGACAAACACTCAGCAGCAAATTATCGTCCGGTATCACTAACATCAGTACCATGTACAATTCTAGAACACATAATATGCAAACATATATTAGATCATCTGGACAGACATAGGGTACTTACAACTCTGAACCATGGCTTCCGTTCAGGATACTCCTGTGAAACACAACTCGTTACCACCATTGACGATCTACTGAAATCTTTTAACCAAACAAGTGGACATGGCAATACTTGACTTATCCAAGGCCTCTGACACAGTTCCCCATGCCAGATTACTCCATAAGCTGGATTCATATGGGATCAGAGCACCTCTGCACCAATGGCTAAAAACCTTCCCAAATCGCAGGAACATGCGGGTAGCCATAGAGGGAGAACTCTCTTAAGAGGCAAGTTAGGAGTACCACAAGGAACAGTACTAGGACCCCTACTCTTCCTTTGCCATATAATTGACTTGCCATACTCTGTGAAATCAACAGTTAGACTTTTCGAAGATGACTGCCTACTCTATCGAGAAACAATCTCAAACAAGGACCAAGAAACACTTCAAGACGACATTAAACAGCTCGAAACATGGGCTGCAAACTGGGGGATGAAATTGAATGCCAAAAAATGTAACATTTTTTGTATTATGAAGAAAAAGCAAAACACATAACAACTTGATGGACACAACTTAGATCACGTACAGACAAACCCATACCTAGGATTACAACTATCAGGAGATATGAAGCAGAAAGTACCATAAAAAGGCCAGTTCTACCGTAGGCTTCCTACGAAGCAGTCTACAACACTGTCCCAGAGAATGTAGAAAGACGGCATACATTGCTCTTGTCAGATCCATCTTGGAATACGGAGCAATAATCTGGGACCCGTACATAAAGGCGAACATTAACAAATTGGAAAGCATCCAATGGAGAGGGGCGCGTTTCATCCAGAAGGATTACAGAACAAGGGAAGAGGGATTCATGACAAAACTACTCAAAGAGCTACAACTTCCACCACTAGCATCAAGACGAAAACAACAGAGACTAACATTCTATTATAAAATAGTAGAGGAGCAAATTCCATCAATGCCTAGCAAAGACTTTATTAATTTCCAACGTGAAAAAAAAAAGAAAACACGACAACGTATATTTCAGGAACAATAACAGAGCAGTCATAATACCCAACAGCAACACGGAACAATACAGAAACTTATTCTTTGTGCGAACAGCCACAGATTGGAACCACCTGGACGACATCACAGTCGGGGCGCAAGGAATAGAGGCACTTTAAACATCAATCCTTACCAACTGGGATTAAACGAAGCTAAGCATCGCATTGTAAAAAGAGTTCCACACGAGGGAACCCGTAAAACATATGACAATACATTTGGAAAGCAATGTATCACAATGCAACCAAGACAATTCTGATTTACGAGATAACGATAATTTAAATAATGTAACTTAAACACAAATCATACATAATTACCTTTAATGGTTTTACATTTATACAGTTGTTATGACTAATATTTTCAAACTTGATAGATCAAAAGTTGAAATTGTTTCTTCCCCATACAGAATAGGAAAACTCATCGACAACATGAAATCAAAGTGGACTTTTCCCTTTTACTCTTGTAGAAATAAAATAAAAACATTTTTTTCATAGTTAATTCATTTTATTATAAAAAAAGCAAATAATTTAATACACAAAATGACATAAAATTGTATAAGGATTTCATGTACATAAAAGATGTAGTTCAAGGACGCATTGATATTGAGGTAGGTACGTAAATTAATGGGGACTTAACTCTATTAGCACAATAATAAAGCACATATTACGATGCATGTCCTTATATGGAAACAAAACATGAAACCGAAAGAAAACAGCATTTTGGGGGAATAAATAACTAAACAACTTCCCTTTCACTCTCTCTCTCTGTTTCTATCTCTCTCTCTCTTTCTTTCAATCGTTCTCTTCCTTCCTTATCTTGAATATGACCACACAGGAGGACACTGTGTAACGTTTATATGTTTGACTTTAAACAAAGGTATCGTTGATATCTCAGGCATATTCTGTTACTCCATACAATTAAAAATGTATTATAACGAGTGTGGGGAAAATCCTGAACTACAGCATGTTTTTCAACAATGTTTTTCTACCAGATATCTGAATTGCAGACGAATATTTATGATACTCAGTGTTCGATGTTCCACGCTTCGTGTTCAAAGTTCAGTGTTATTGTTCTTATTCCTTGTCTGAAGAACATTGTCAGAGAGTCAAACACTGATTTTCATCCACCAGTGTAAATTAAACCATATTCATGTCCAACATTCAATGGTTAATTTCCATTTTCCGACATTCAACGTCCAATATTCTTTGTCCAAGATTAACCTGTTTCATTTGAAGTTCATGAAAAACCACGATCCTTTTCGATTCAATGCGTGATAATAAATATTCAGTTTATTGTCCACGCCATATTGAAAACGTCAACAGTATCCGCAAGTTCATGCTTCAATGATGTATCAAGCTGCATGTTCTTAAAAGCTTCATGAAAAAGTATCTCGAGGGTTTCAAAATGAACACAATCAGATACGTATGAAGTCAGAAATTTCATCAAAACAAACCGCGTTTTTAATTTAACGAACCTGGTGACATGTTTTGGCCATTTGCTGGAATATTGTAACTGTTTGATTAGACTACTGGAGATTCGGTGGACAATTCCTGAGGTGATACAGTATTGTCCGTGTTTGAGATCCCGATGACGTTGTTGAGTGTATCACCAACAACTGGTGTTTCTGCCGCCGAACCATCATTGACAGACGGTACTGGGGAATCGTTCACAAGTTTTTCCACTACTTGCATAGGTTCGGAGAATAGTTGTAATTCCGGGACAGTGACACGACTTGAGGCACTAGGCGGGAGATCGAATCCGCTGTCGGTTTTCGCCGTCGGAAACTCTGTTATACTATCGAATGCGCCCTGGAATCCTCCGAGATCGTTGTCTGAGGGAATAGTTCCGGCTATGGAAAGAGCTGGTTCTTCTGGTTTGCACATGCGCTGTGTACACTCAGCCTACAAAAATAAAAGATATATAACGATAAGTTTAAAATGTTATAACATAGATCATGACATTTGGATTGATATCAAAACAACCAGTATAAAGAAGAAAACTAATTATTGTGCAGTTTGGTTTTGAAAAACTGTTTCTGAAAAGGTGTTTTAATAAGAAGCTTAATTCGACTAGTCTGCTACTCATCATAAAAAGTTTGTATTAATTAACTTACCGCGCCGTACATGTTGTTACAGGAACACGTGTTTCCACAAACGTCGATTGTGATGGATCCACCCAGAGGGATAAAGTTGTAGTCGAGGCGACATCCCAGCCGACATTCGCACGCGACGGATGGGATGTAACTAGGGCAGATGTATTCCTCCGCGAACACACATTCGGCACCGGTGTCACAGCCGCTGAGGAACACAAAGATAAACAGAATATAAAACTAGTGCTTTTCAAATATCGCTAAAATGTAAAATAGCAAGATTTATTTAATGCTTTTTCATAATGCCATTGTTTTTTTTTTATATTATACACTGTTAAGATATCTTTTTATATTCAAGTTTGCATGGAAACCAAAAGGAATTGCAAATATGAACAATAAATACTTACGTTTTATGGCAGCTAGAGTTCTGTTTTCCTCCACCGACTCCAGGGAAGATCTCGTTTGTGTCTGGTAAACCTACTTCCGGGAAGGTCATATCAGGGAGGCCCGTGGAATCAGTTGCATCAGTGATGACAACTGGGGTTATAACTGGAAGCTCTGCTCCGTTGCTGGTATCTGTGATAACTACGGGGCTGATAGCCGGAAAACCTGCATCTATACCGGAAGTAACACCAAGAGATGAAGAGTCCGGTGTGGCTGCTTGGTCCCCGTTTTTGTTTTGTTCCTGAACGACTGGTTTCCCGTCAGCACCAACATCCTTGGTCTGAAAACCTATTCCGGCTCCTGGAAATAGGAAACTGTCTCCAGGGAAAGTGTCAATTCCGTCGATAATTACATTCTTATTAAAATCCATTGGAGGCAATTCAGACATTGAATTGATTCCAAGGTTTGTGAATGTTGGTACAACACTAGTGACATCTGGTGTTCCCACAACGCTTACACCACCAGGGATAACTCCGCCTTCTCTGGGTACAACAAATCCTGTATTTACGAAACCACCATTTACTGGGTTTAGAAAACCACCATTTACTGGGTTAATAAAACGACCAGTATTAGGGGCTACAAATCCTGGGTTCACCACGCGCCCGTTTGAGGGGATCACTACATTAGGATTAACTGTCGCTTGTGGATGAAATGTGTTGATACTGGCGGGAAAGTTGGGTCTGTAGAATGGTCCATGTCCATTGGTAGGGTAGACGGTTCCCATACTCTTCTTCTGGATCATGTAGGTCGGATATCTGTGAATGAAGACTCGATGAGGAATGACCCCCCGCTTGTGGACGACTGGACGAAAATATGTCCTTCGGCGATAATAGTGACCGCTACAGCTAGATAGGACTCCGAACATAGCTATAGCAAACAGCAGAATGGTATTCATTGTGTCCTTGGAGTTGATAGTATTATATAGGTTTAAAAGGTATAGAAAAATAATAGTCCTCTTAATTTAAAAATGCAAGCTGATAGTAACTGTTCCTTTTCTGTACTTTTCAGTTGGCGAACATAAAGTCTTCTTTGAGTCTAAGGCAGTAATGCTTTGTTGGAGAGCTGGGTTGTTTCTGGACTGGACATTGTTCGGTGGACATATATATACAGACGATGTCGTGGTGATGACGCATGTGTTGGCCATTTTATATGCATTTCATTGTTACGGTAAGCAGGTTGTTGTGGTCTGCCTGATGTGCATCGGCACGAAACGATGACGCATACACAGGTTTTCACTACAATCGATATCGATTCTGGTGACGTAGACCACCACTTCCTACGACAAACGGTATCAAACTGTCAAGATGGACAATAAAAGTGTCCGAACGGAGGCAGGTCATTCAGGAAGTGACCGTGGTCATCAGACAATAACTAGCATGGAATGCAGTAAAGTGATTAACTGTAGATAATTCTAGAATAAACAAACAACTTTCGTCACCGTTTTCAGTATCTTCGTCACTGATTTGAATTATTTACAAACAAACAATAAGAATGCATTATTCATGAGTTTACATGTAAGGCTTTACTGATCTCGCCTTCAACTATACGAGCATGTTATGTACTCCTACAAACGCGTGACAGGTGACAAGGCGTTGTTTTGTCATTATCTCAGATACCTAGAGCAACACATTGTATTTTACGATGCCAACACTAATTGGAGCAATAATTACAACTGATTTTAAACAGATTTTACTCGCTTACTCTGTGCTTAGATTTTTATTATAAGAATGTATTATAATGTTTTATTAAAAAACACTCATTGCTTTATATAGTTCTGTTGTAACAGTGGAGAAATCGTACCGAGAACTACTGGATTGTTAATACGGTGCTCTATTTAAACAATATTTGCTTGTTTGAAAATTCAAATATTGATCTAATTTGGAAATTAAATTTAAAGTCTGGTAAATCTCAGAACCTGAAAAAAAATGGAAAAGAGAAAAATCCCGTTCTTATTGCATGTAACATGAGTTTTAGAAATAATAAATTAGACGAAAGGTTACAATCGAGGAACATAAACAAAGATTGTGATTGATTGATGGGTAAACATTCTTTATTGCAACAGTGACATAGTACTTGTAGTACATAGATGTTATGACGAGACGGCAACGTAAACACAAATCAATCACAATCGATGATAAACAATATCAAGACCTACGGAGAGACCCGAGTATAATTCACACGATGACATACGGAAAAACCCGAATAATTGTACACAGGGACTGACTGAGAAGCCCAAAGAAATTTCTCCGATGACTTACAAAAACGCTCGAGTTTAATCTCAGAAGGATTTACGGAGTTAATTTTGCCGGTACTGCCAGAAAAGTGATCCGATCACTAAATAATACATGCTGTCCCTTTTCTGTGTAATTTCCTGCAAAGCATAAAAATCTAACCATATAGACATATTTATTGTAAACCTGTTGTATTTAATTTCAGTACATTCTATAACGTGATGCTAACCAATTTGCTTTGAAATGTGTTTTGTTTTTATTAGCAATAACTTCAAATACAAAGTAACAAACAGTTTCATGAACTTATTCATGCAAATCCAACGTCCTGGCCGTTGACTTCACGTTTGAAAAATCTGTTCCCTTGAACTTTAGAGTGTTGTCAACAATTATAAATCATTCAGCGAAAATTTATCAAATGGACACCGTGTCTAGACAGCAACAGTTAAAATTGATTGCCAGACTAATCATAGAATAATGGAGATCTACATGATGTATGTACTAACTCTGTTTTGGATTATAATTTAAAACAAAAACAGAATCGAGTTTTTCTGCTAGTAAGGAACTACTCTTTCAATATTACGTTGCAGAATTATTTTTAATTTAACCCACAAACAGGCAACCGACCAAGTGATAAATATTTTGGGCATTTGACTTGCTTTCCATTAGAACCTGGTTTCCGATTGAAAACGTTTATTCGATTTTTAATAAATCAATGAATTTTCATGAACTGGTCTTCTATTGTTAATTGATTTTGAAAAAGCTTTTGACTCTGTGTCTTGGAATTTTATTACAAAAACTTTAAATTTCTTCAATTTTGGACCATCACTTATTAACTGGATCAACCTTTTTCAAAAAAATATACGCTCTGCAGTTAACATAGGAGGGAACTTATCCAATTTTTTCACTATCGAGCGTGGATGCCGTCAGGGGGACCCTGTTTCTTCATATATTTTTATCTTATGTGCTGAAATTTTATCGATTCTATTAAGAAATAATTCTGATATCAGCGGTATTGTTGTAAATAACAGAGAAATTCTTTTATCACAGTTTGCTGATGATACGTCTGTTATCCTTGACGGTTCAGAAAAATCTTTAAATGTAACGCTACAACAACTTAACTATTATGCCAGAATTTCAGGTCTTAAAATGAATTTCACCAAGACCCAGGTAATCTGGATAGGCAGTGAAAAATATAGTAATAATAAATATACAACAGAGCACAATCTTTTGTGGGGAAGTACACGTTTTAATTTGCTAGGCATTGAATATGATGTTGATTTACATAGAGTAGTTAAATTAAACTTTGATAAGAAACTTGTTAAACTTAAATCTCTCATAAGTTCGTGGAATAGAAGAAATCTCACTCCAATAGGTAAGATAACCATTATTAAAACATTGCTAATTTCACAATTTAATCATCTTTTTATAGCTCTTCCAAACCCACATGACTCTTATATAAAAAAAGTAAATAACATATTATACAAATTTTTGTGGTGCGGAAAAACTGATAAAGTTAAACGTGATGTTATAATTAAGTCATACGAACATGGTGGTTTGAAAATGATTCATTTAAAATCTTTCATAACAGCACTAAAGGCAACGTGGGTACGGAGGATCTATAAAGAAGATGCTAGTTGGACTTTAATTCCTGAAAACTACATGGATAAGTTCTCTTTAGCTAATTGTGGAATTCATAAATTAAAAATTACATGTGAAGAATGTAAAAATAAATTTTGGAAACACGTTTTAGAAGCATGGTATCAAACAATAGTGTCGTCCAATTTATATAGTGAAAAAATATGTGAAAATCCTTTGTGGTATAATCACAATATCCAAACAAACAATAAGACTGTTTTCTGTAAAGAGTGGTATAGAAAAGGAGTGCTTTTTATATATGATGTAATTAAAGAAGATGGTTCTTTTTATAATTTTGTAGAATTTCAACATAGATATGATATAAGGTCCAATTTTTTAACTTTTCATAGTATAATTAGTGCTATAAAACAGTTTATAAATAGTAAACAAGAAATCTTTGCTTTAGAAAAGAGTATTTGTTTACCTAATATACCTTTAAATCTTAATATTATATTAAGGAGGACTAAAGGGGCACAGGATATTTATGCTGTTTTATGCCGAAATGATACAAAACCCACGTCACAAAGGAAATGGTCTACGGTTTTTAACATTCAGGACAAATTATGGATAAAGATTTATGCATGTCCTTTTAAAACTACTGAAAGTACTAAATTAAGATGGCTTCAATACCGAATTAACCATAGAATCTTAACTACAAACACACTCCTACAAAAAATGGGAATAAAACAAAATTCAACTTGTACTTTTTGTAAAAGATTTCCAGAAACAATTGAACATCTATTTTGGGATTGTGGTAAAGTATGTGAAATTTTGAGAGAACTAAAACAATTGCTTGCAACCAGTAATATTGATTTGAATTTTGACAAACAGGAATTTATATTTGGACAATTCAGTTCAAAGGATGCTGATTTGATAGTGGATAATCTTATCCTATTATTGATTAAACAATACATTTTTAAAATGAAATGCCTAGAAATAGAACTCAATATAACAAGTTTAAAGAATCACATTCTTTTTGAACTTAAATCTCATAAGATATTGATAATTAAGCATAAAAACTGCAAAAATAATATAGTCTTGCTTAATAAAGTAGAAAAATGGCTTCTCTTATAAAATAATGTGAACAATTATCATTATACTATAAAGAAAAGTTTGCAATCCCCCNCGTGTTGTTTATAAAAAAGAAAAATTGAATAGAAAAAATTAATAATAATAATAAAAAAAAAAAAATCTGCGATGACCATATTTGGTCGGATGTAATTCCTAAATAAGAAGAGTTTGACCTTATTTCAGAGTATAATGGGCATTACATAACAAAATAGTATTCATCTTCAATTTGAGCACATGTAATAAAGAACTGCAAATCTGGAGGTAGGGATATAGGTCTATGCAATCTTCCCGATTCTATATTAGTCTATCTGATGATACTCAAAGGAGAGTGAAACCTTTTTGAAACCTTTTAATATTAACCACAATCAAGATATTTCTTATAAACGAATTCGTTTGAGAAAAACAACATAGTTGGTTGGGTAGGTTTAGCGCCCTACCAACAACTAAGGTCATTTAAGTACGTGCCTCCGTGTGTGTTGTGTATGTGTGCCGGAGACAGGCATGTTTGTGTATTACGGAACTGTCCCCCTCTGATAGCGTGGATCTGATGCCGACTTTATAGTGCTACCACACTGAAATACAATGCCGACGGCACCCAGCACAGCATTCAGCCCGGTCACATTATACTGACAACGGGTGAACAAGTTGTTGCCATTACCATAAATGCTGAACGTTAAGCAGGTAATGACATCTACCATTTTTAAGGACTTTGGTATGTCTCGGTATGGGGACCGAACCTATTGACCTCCTCACCTGGACGAACGTTCAACATCAAAGCCAAAAGTGAGGCATTGCCAAGCAAGGTGCTAGGAAACAAATAAAAGTTAGAAGTAGAGAGAACTACAAAGATCCCAAATATTGCAATGGGTGCAGCAGATTTATTTTGGTCGCTTTTGTGTCCTCAAGTACAGGGCACAAAACCAAATCCCCAAATTATGCAAGGGTTACCACATTAGTCGCCTCTTATGACCAAGCAATGGGTAACAGCAGGTGTATTTTTTTCCGCTATCTCGGACTTGCAGTGGTGTTCTTGTCATATTGCTCTGGGCGATTCGACAAGTGCTAAACACTACCAGAAGAAATTGCATTCATTAAAGCTATGAACGCGATTGGTTCACTGTCATTTGAAGTTTCTCCGCTTGCCTGGAATAAGA